CAATTGGTGTTCCAAGTGTTATACCAAATTCAGTTCCTGATTGTATAACAACCAAATCTTTTTCATCTCGCTACACACACACATACACACACACAAAGGTATATAAATTTAATAACTTTTAAAATCAATGAAAATTTTTTAAAAGTAATTTTTTTTTTAATTCTTACAGGTGTCGTCAAATTACTCTGACCTGGCCTTCTTCTACTCAATTGTTTTTGAATATCAGCTTCTATAAGAGGTAAACCAGGAGGACAACCATCCACTATACAACCAACAGACTTCCCGTGAGATTCACCATAGGTTGTCACGCGAAAAATATTGCCAAAAGTACTCATACTTTTTAATTATTAAAAGATTAAAAGATCTATTAATTTGTGTGTGGCTTACTAATAATATATGAATCACGATAATCATTTGAGGCGTTTAAGGGTAGAATGTAGTCATGTGATTTATATAATGATCAGCTACGTAGCTAAGCAATTATTAAATGCCAAATTATTTTTAATTCTTTGCTCATGAGCTCTCAAGGTAAGTGGTATTAGTTTTATTCGTATGTAAATTTAGAGCGTTAAAAAACATTCTAATTTAAAAATAGAATTTTTGAAAACAACTAGATGAGTTGAGGGAAATCAATAACAAGATACCAATATATCTCCATCTACTCTACATATACCATTTGTTCTACCTGTTCTTCGTAGAAGTTATATCAACTTTCTTTTTACTTTAACAAAAATGTGGGAGCTTCCTGTAATTTTTACTTGAAGATAATTAATATAATTAATACATTACAATCAAACCTCGCCGCAACGAATTCATGGTCAAAAAAATCTGTTATGACAAGAAATCCGTTGTGGCAAAGTGATGATCGGCAAAAATTTTTTATACATGCGAAAATTAAAATTATTTGTTGTAACATTTGGTTGTATTAGTTTTTCATTAACTAATAATTTCACTTTTCTTTTCAATAATGATAAATAATCTATCAATTTTTTGTTTACTGATTTATTTTAGAAACTTGGAAAAGGTTGTTACTAGCAATTGGACAACTATCAATTGTTTGTATTGATTTATTTTAGAAAATTTGTTACTTGTAAATCTTTGGGGTAAAATTGTTTGTTTATTGTTTATTTTAATACTGATCTTTGATTAAAATAATCAAATAGACATATCCATCTAAATAATTATACGAAAGATAGGATTCCAAAGGCAAAAAAATTTCCACTTAGCACCAAAACATATGAAATTCTGACACCATTCCTCCCGTTTGTCAGGTAATGGAAATCAGGATCAACTTTGATGAATGTAAAGTTCATTCAATATTTTATTATTGACATGCAATATGATGCAATATGACAATCACTAATTAATTAAAGGATTAATTTCCTTTAAAAAAATTAATGACAAGGAATTCCTTTTTTAAAAATTACAAACTACAGTCGAAAGGTGGTCAGTGGTCCCTTAGATCCCGTTGTAACGAGGGTTTGACTGTACACTAAATTTTGAACCCTGTAATCCCATGTAACACGATTACAATTTTGTATACTCCATATTAATTATATTAATTTTAATATCTTGTAAGAAAAATGTGTTGTTATAATAATATAAAATAGGAAGGAAGAAAAAATAAAAATACTTAATTAGTAATGTTCATTTGTTAACGATGTCAAATATTAAAATCATACGTGTAACGTTATATCAATGACTGAATTTTTTAAAAATAATGATGGGAAAAAATAAAAGTTCGGTTAAAAAAGTAGGAATTGTTGCTGAAAAAATTTCTACTGCAACAGGAGGAATTGGAGAAATTGTTAAAAATAAAGATAATATTTCAAATCTCACGAATGATCATTTCAAATTAGTTATTGGAACTGTTGGTGCTATCGGCGAAGGTAATAAATATAACCTTTATTTTAAAAGATCATAATAATCTAATAATCTAATAATCTAATAATCTAATTATTATATTATATTATATTATATATTATACAAATAGCCGCCATGCCATATTTGCCATTGATTTCATCAGTATTAACCTTGACAGCAAAAATTGTCAAGGCTTATGATAATGCTCAATATAATAAAAAAAGTTGTGCAGCATTGATTCAACGAGTGCAATCAGCCGAAGTTGCAGTTAAAGTATTGGATAGACGCAAACAAGAAAATCAGGAAAATTTTCATCAACAAACTTATTATATAAACTTTGAAAGATTTATCACTATTTTAGGAGACATTGAAGCTTTTATGACAGATTTCACACGTTTATCACAATACAAAAAATTTATTTCTAATAATGTTATTAAAGAAAGATTTATTGGATTGATTAATGATTTTGATAGAGTAGTTCATGATTTAGGATTTACAATGATCATTGCAAGTGATGAAGATAGGAAAAAAGAGATTGAAGTTTTAAATAATGATATTGCTGAAATGTCAAAGGTATGAGAGATTTGGTATTATTATTGATATTATTCATTATCAATTAAAAATATATATGTTTATAATTTACATATTCCTCTTTTTTCAATAATAATAGTTCTTGCAAACAATTGAAGCTGGTGTTACAACAATCGATAAAAAAATCAGTCACGTGTTAGAACATGTATTAATATTACAAGATAAAAAAAAAGATAAAGATTTTTCACCTCCAATTAAAAAAATACCACCCAATGAAATAAAAATCGAAAGTTCTACTCACGATAAAAAATTACTTAAAGCAAGATATTTAGGATGTAATGTTGCATGTGATACCATTATCTTACCTGATGATGACAAACCTGGTTCACACAGGATTAATGCTCAATTAGCCATTTTAAGAAATTTAGCAAGTTGTGAATTTATTATAAATTTTCATGGACTAACTAAGATTAATGGAATTGATCGTATGGTGGTTGGATGGGCTGAGTTTAGTAATTTGAAAGAATTTTATGAAAAAAATCACATTAAGTGGCCTTTAAAAATTAGAATTGCCACAAATATTTGTCGTGGAATTATATTCTTAAATGGTTGTGATATATTTCATCATGATATTAGATGTGAAAATATTTTGGCAAGTTTTTAATTATCAGATATTAGATATTTGTTGCCTTTACACTAAATAACTATCTTTTTTTATAGATTACAGAAAATTATGAACCAAAAATTACAAATTTCAGTTATAGTAGGGATCTTAAAGACAATACAATTAAAATTGAAAACCAGAAAAAAATTATTCGTTGGTTAGCTCCTGAAAAAATGCAACCATCTAAATATGCACCATATACTATTCAATGTGAAATATTTAGGTATATTTTATTGACATTGATCTCGAATATTGATATTACTGTTGAATATGATATTGATAATTAAATAAAAAGTAAAATTATCATTTTAGCTTTGGGATGCTTTTATGGGAATTGGCATTTCAACAATTACCTTACAAAAATATGGAATTTTCACAGATACAAAGTCATGTTTTAAGTGGTAAAAGAGAACATTTAGATTTTACACTTGATTTGCCAGAAAAAGAATTTGGAAAAATTGTTAATTCTGGTAAAATGATTTTATTTTAATAAATAAATACATCACATGTTAAATTTTTTTTTTAAATTAATATTTTGTATTTTCTTAAATTTTTTAGCTTGGCAGCATGATCCAACTTTGAGGCCAGAATTAAATTATTTATTTAATGATTTAGAAAAAATTTGTACAAAATTTGCTAATGTTTCAGGAATATCATCATCTATGGTTCTTGCCAAAAACATTAATGTCCTTAATAACAATAAGTATAATAGTAATGATAATGGTATCTCAACTTCTGTGATAACAACAAACACTGCTACCGCATCAGTAGCCCTTAATGGTTTTGCTACAACAAGCACGCCAAGTAATTGCATTAATAATAATAATAATTATGATGATAATCATGGTAAAGATTTTAATAATCACAACAATAACAGTCATAATAATAACAACAGTAATGATTATAATGATGATTACAATAATAATAATGCTTGTAATACCCATAATGATGAATCTGAAAGAAAAGGATTCTACACTATAGATTCAGATAATATTAGCCCTATATTAAGATTGGAAGATGGTCTTGCGTTAGATAAACAGGGTCAAAAAGAAAAGGCGTATGAATGTTTCAAAGCTCATGCAGATATAGGCAATAAAATGGCAAAATTTTGGTTAGGGAATTATTATTGGCGTGGTATTGTTGTAAAAAAAGATTTAGATAAAGCTGCTGAATTATTTAAAGAGGCCGCTGATAAAGGTGTAGCAAGAGCACAATTATGTTATACTAAAATTTTATGTGATGAAGATGGGCCATCATTTGATCTAGAAGAATTCATGAAATATTTAAGAATGGCGGCCGATAATGGTAACGAAGTTGCACAATTCAATCTGGGCGATTTGTATTATAATGGTAAATTAGGTGTGAAAATTGATGAAAAACGCGGTTTAGAATATTTAAAGCTGGCTGCTTTAAAAGATCAACCTAAAGCTATCGAGTTATTGGAAAAATTAAATATCAGCAATATTTATCAATTAGAAGATTAATTTAATTCATATCTTATTTATTATATTCTGTGTGTGTGTGTATATATATATTTACATAATTGTAATTTTATTACTAATACAGTCATGGTCAACGTGATAAGTATTTCTGACAAACCATTAAACGATTAATTTTTATATGCCGCAATTAATCGAGCAGCCATCTTTACAAACGATTGGATTGTTTAACATTTTGATATAATAAATTATTTATTTTGTTGTAGTTAATGGTGTTGGAGTTGCTAACATCCACCGGTAGAAAATGGATATTTCTATGTTTAAATTATATGCTTATGTATCTAATTCTATTGGTTTAAAATTACGGTGAATCTCGAATATTTCTTAATATTGTAAAATTTTAGGGTAATAGTAACATATCTATTACTATGACGAGATCGCCCCGCGGCTCATAATAATAATGGAAGTGCTGCGTATCCAGGAACCAGAAATAAATCATTATTATGACGTCTACTATTGTATCAACGCCAGGAAAAGTACTTGTCGCAGGTGGATATTTGATTCTAGATAGAAACTATGATGGTCTAGTTGTTGCGGTTGATTCAAGATTTTATACAGTGATTAAAAAAATTGAAGCAGAAAATACTTTTTGCAATAGTAATAATGACAATAGTTGGAAAATTAATGTCATTTCACCTCAATTCAATAATACCAAGTGGGAATATAAAGTAATAATTAATGATTATAACAATAAAGAAGATATCAGACAATGTGAATTGATGACATTGAACTCAAAGTATGCAAATAAATAAATTATCATAGCAAATTATTTAAATGAATTATATAGTAAATTTTAAATTTAAATAAATTTATTTTTAGTGAGAGCGGAAATAACACATTTATTGATGTGACACTCAAATTTGCTTTGTCAATTATTATTCAGAGAATTGATTATTCATCATTCTCAAAGATATTAGAAAAAGGATTAAATATATTTATAGTTGGAAGCAATGATTTCTATTCACAACGAGAACAAGTAGGTAATTTTTTATCTTTAATTATTAATGATATCAATGATTATGAATTAATAGTTGATCCTCTTTTTATGGATACGTACGTGTACAAGTTGAAAAATCAAGGACTTGAAATTAGTTTGGCATCATTACGATCACTCAAACCATTTTGTAAATTAAACAAAACCTTGAAAAATGTTCATAAAACAGGTTTAGGATCTTCGGCAGCATTGATAACATCATTTGTTACAGCTTTATTCGTTCATTTTAATTTAATCAATAACAAAGAAGACGTAGATGATAATTATTCCAGAACATTAATTCATAACGTTGCACAGTTTTGTCATTGTTTTGCTCAAGGTAAAATAGGATCAGGATTTGATGTATCAGCTGGTGTATGGGGAAGTCATACTTACAAGAGATTTTCTACTAGTATACTAGAAAATGTTTTAAATGTGGTATAAACATTTCTAATATATATATATATATATAATATAAAAGGAGAAAAAAAATTTTTTTTGTTAAAATATATTCTGATAATTTTTATTATTATTCAGCCAAATATTACAGAGATTAACACAATTATCGATCCTATGTTAAATAAGTGAGTGAATCTGGTAAATTTATTATTATAATTGTTATTGTTATCATTATATTAATGTTAAAGTTATATTTAGATGGGATAATCAAGTTTCGCCATTTTCTTTACCACCAGGATTTAATTTAATTCTTGCAGACATTGATACAGGATCGAATACTCCCAGTATGGTTTCAAAAGTATTACAATGGCGTAAAAATGATCCTGAGCAAGGTTTTTTTTAGGATTTTTTGATTTTTTTTCTCAAATGAGCAGACAAATAAAAAAATTTTTTAATTTTTTTTTTTAGCAAATAAATTATGGGAAGAATTGAATAAATACAACAAATTTCTTGCCGATAATTTAACAAAATTGACAAAAGAATATGATAATGATCAAAAATTATATTGTAATACTATTGAAATCTGTTCTAATTCTAAGGCATCTGAGGTTTGTAATAATAATAATAACTCTTGGAGAGAAAAGAAGAAAGTATTTAAAGAAGAGAATATCAATTAACATGACTTTTTTAATAATTCTAGTGGTTATCAATATCAGAAAAAAATCCAAATGAATCTTACATTATAAGATTATTATCATTGATATATACAACATTCCAAGTAATTTATAAAAATACATATTATTATTGTTTTTTTTTCTAGGATTATGAATCTAATCATATTATTATTTCATTTTAAAGAATATACGAAAATTATTACGAGAAATGTCAAAACTGTCAAAAGTACCAATTGAACCACCTGAACAAACTAAATTATTAGATTTATGTAATGAAATACCTGGTGTGGTATTAAGTGGTGTTCCTGGTGGTAAGTTACAAATTTAATAATAATAGTTAATTAATCGAAAATAAATAAATTAATTAATTAATGATTTTTTATATTGTCATTGTCATTATTAGCGGGAGGATATGATGCAATATTTTGTATTTATATTACCCCAATTTCTTCTTCTACTACGACTGCGTTTCATTCAATTAAAGGAGATGGCTGCCTAAATAAATTAGAGCAACTATTTTATAATTATAAAGGCTTGGATGTATTACCACTTTTATCTAAAGAATCATCAAAGGGTTTTTTAATTCATAAAAATATTGATGATGTTTATGGTTTAAATGAATGTATTAATTAATTAATAAACAGTTTGATATTTATCAATTACTTTAATTTTGAGCACAAGTTTTCCCCCAAAGTTTAGTTCATGTAATTATTAAACCAATATGGCCCCAAAAATCCATCACATGTTTTTTACTGATGGAACAATCAAGATCATCATCACTTACTGGGGTGAACAAAACGATCTTACGCAGCCATCATCTATCTTTCCTACTAATCGCCTTGGAATCTTTGTAATGCTCTTTCCTCTATATTGTCATTAAACATTAAGCATTAAGTGGGAAGCAATTATAAATTGTTTAACTTTTACTTACCCAACGAAAAAAAATGATAAGGAACATACACGATATCGATAGTATGCCATATATTGATTCTATACCAACTCTCTACCATGATTTGGAACAGAAGATTTGTGTTATATTTGAAATGAAGTTCCGGATCATAATCTTTACCTAATATAGGGTCTGATGTGCAATGACCCGTATATTTCTTTCGAAATAAAAATGCCTCTTCTTTTTTAAAATTAAAACTATCCTTGTATTGTTGTATTTTATATAATCAAATTGTCTTTAATACATATGGATTGTGTTAAATTGATGCATTTTTGACTTTTGAAGTTAGTCAACTACGTGTAATAGTAATAATAATATGCTTGAGCTGTCTTTAGTGTCTGAATTTGAAGCAACATAGGTTGATCAATATTGGTACTTAGAACGAGCTTTACATACCACACATATGACAGGTTTTGGTACATGTTCTTGCCACTTTTAAATCTTCAAATAATGCTGAAATTATTTTATTGTTGAATCACGATAATTCGATCACTGGAGTTGGTGATGATGAAGTTGTTCTTTCGCTTTTCAATTAATCTTGTTAGAGAAAAACTTAAAGTAAAAATGTTGTACGAAAAAATTGTCATTCAGTTCTCCGCAAAGAAAAACAAGTTTTTAAACGAAAACGTAACAGCGAGTTTCGTGAAATACAGATAGTATTATATAATTTTTTTGGTGTCATATATTATAAAATCACATGGCTCAATCGCTTGCGTATATATTTGTTCGGAGCATCAAAATTAACACTATCTTAGCATCCCACCATGTATTCATGATCAATGATACAATCTTCAATAAAAATAGACTATTCCATGGCATTGATTGAGGAGGCTAATGAATCACAACCAAAAACATACAAATATACCGCTACATCCACTCGTGAACCAAAAAAACGGTGCATTGGTTTTGCTTTTCATGGTATTCGAATTCGAGGGTCGAGTTGAAATGGAGTTCTATGTATAATTTGGCTTTACATGTTAAATTCAAATACGAGGTATCTATATATTTGTTTGGAGCATCAACATTAGCCAGCCATATTATCAATATTTTTGTTTTATTCATTCATTGTATTAGCAAAAAACCTATTTATTTAAAAAAATTACATATACAAAAGGAATGTTCACGAATTTAATAAATTTAATAAAAGATCCTTTGCAAATAAGAACCCTCATGTGATCAAAAGTTATTTACAAATTTCGATTGTTAAAAAAAAAAATCAACTACTCAGGTTTTTTTTGTTAACTAAAAAAAAAGATCTTTTTGTCCTGATTAAAGGTCAATGGGTCAATTGGATTCCCTCCAAATATATCGCTAAGCTTCATGCAAACATCAAAAGTTGCAAAGATTAATCAATTAATTTTATTTATTTTCTCCGAAAGGAAAATGTTTCCTCTCTCAAATGGTCAAAATCAAATAAAAAATTTTTTTTGGTTCAACACTAACAATTAAAAAAAATCTGTACATATTGTTTGTTTATCGACCATTGAATTGACTGATAATAACAATAGCAATAAAGTAAATGTAAAAAAGTGTTTTTGAATCCCAGTCTCGTGACCCAAAAATATACTAATTACACGTTGTGTGTCAAGTCGGAATCTGAGGTAAAGGCTCCAAGTCAAGGCCATGAGTTTTGGTCATTTTGAACGGTCCGAAATATCAGAGCAAGACAAAAACTTAACGGTAGTCAACGATAGACACCGCGCAAAAAAACATCTAAAGCAAAACACGATTTCCTTTCTGCTTCATTCAATACTGATGTTTTGAACAAAAATAGATAGCAATGAGAATTCGCATGATACGACGACGTAAAATAACCACAAACATTCATCATTTTTGAAAACAAAAATGTTTAACAATCAATTTGCAAGCCAGCGCAGCAAAAAAAAAGAAAAAACGGCTTGATCTCATCCTTCCTCAACAATTCAGTTTAGTAAAATATTTGGAAAATTCGTAACTGCACCGAATTTACCATTTCAAGTCTTAATATTAATAAGTCTTTACAACAGAATATTTCCCGTGCTTTACAAGATTCAGGTCTTTATGATTGTGGAATGTATTTAGCAGGTAAATAAAAACATATCCCCTAATAAAAATAATTGATTGTTTATTTCAAGTTAAATACAAATTTTTTTTTAAATAAAAAATAGGTGTAAGTGGAAGTTGTTGGAATATTGCGCTTCAATATTCTTCTAGGATATCAAGTCAAGAGAATCCAATTGAAGCATTACTAGAGCATTTTAGAACTCGTTTAACAAACCATATAGCTAGTCCAAGAGGTCTATTCAAGTTACTCAAACATTCGCCAGATCCCGAAAAGACTGTTGAATTGATATTTGGAGGTTTGATAGAGAAAAAATTATCTGGTGCAGATATTGGCATTATTGATATCTATGGTGCTTTATTGGCTGCAAGATTATTATTAGGTGATGATTCACAAACCCAATTTAAAGATTTTAAACTAAGTGAACAAAAACGCTTTTTAGAAGGTGGTAAGAATCCATTGCCTATTTACACTGCGTAAGTATATACATATAATAATAATCATCATTAATGATAATATTAATAATAATTGGATTTATGTTATTGTTAAGTATTCATCATGCACGTCCTTGGAAAGATTTTTTGAATAAGGAGGATGCATCTTTAATTGAAAATTATAATCAAATATTAAAAAATCATCATAATCAGAAAGATCATTATCGATGGTTTGAATTTACTCCTTTTGAGATAGGGTGTGATGAATTTGAAGGTTAGTGTTCATTTATAATATTTTACAAAGAAAAAACCCCATTTAACACACACATATGTATATATGTATAATAATGCAGCATGGATTCCAACTTGGTCATTTGGAAGAAAATTTGAACTTCAAAAAAATCTTGAAAGAATACCAGAACAAAATTTTGCATTATTAATTGGGTAAAAATAAATAATAACGTTTCTGATTCAAAACTCACATTTATACTCATATATATATATATATATATATATTGTTAACATATATTGAAAAAAATTTTAATTGTTTAGTATTTTTGGTGCAGCACCTTGTGCTCCAATTTTAGTTGATATCAGGCAAATTGAACATTTTCTTCCTGATGGATGGCTAAAGAGAGAATGGAGAAAATGTTATGATGATGTAAGTATTATTAATAAATAATAGTAATAATCATATGTATGTATATCTAACCTATCTCTAAAAATAATAAAGGCAATGAAAAATTTGGGAGAACAAAAACAATTGAAATTTGAAGGACATCATGCAGTCCCAGCATCAAATAACAAAAACTTTTTATATCACTTGCACCCACCACCATATAAATTAGGAGTGGCAAATTCACCTGTTTTACATTTGATAGATTCCGGTGCATCCAACGATCTGCCGTTATATCCATTAACACATCCAAATCGTGATGTTGATATAATAATAGGATTTGATTGTTCAAGTCAAATAAATAAACATGAATATTTCGAAGAGGAACAAAAAATTTTTACTGAAAGAAGAGGTATCAACAGTGTACCTGTAGATGTTGATAGTAATAAATATTGTGAGATTTATGATTATCAAGCAAATGGTATTTCTGGTGACGGGTTTACACCCGTGTTCAGGAAGGATTCTTGTAAATTTGTTTATTTACCATTCTTGGAAAATTCAAAAGTTGATGATAAATTTATACCATGTACCGAAAAATTTTGTAATTTTGCTAATTTCACTTATACAAGGGATCAGGTTGATTTAATTGTTAGATTGGCTAAACAAAATTGGATGGAGGTGGAAGATAAAGTTAAAAGTGTTATCATTGAAACTTGGAAAAAGAAACGTGACGAGAGATTAAATAGACAACAATAATCTATCTATTTTATTTATCCATTATATTATTTATTTATTTATTTTATTTATTCTCGTTTTGTATTTTACCTTTTATTTGTTATATTTTTTTATTTATTATTATTGTATTTTTATTGTATTTTTTATTTATTTACTACTATTCTTTGTTACTTTGTTACGCGATTGATTGCATGTTTAATCACGTGTAATAATAATAAATTTGTTCTTCAATTCTCAACAATATTATTAATACACGCATTTATAATATTGTCTATAAATCACGGAGAATGAATATAACGATATAAATATTCATGAAAGTTTCGATTTAATGTTATCATTAGCAGAAAGTCTTCAAGAATCAAAGAAAAGTTACGATGAAGAAAATACCGAATTAAGGTTAGAAAATTAGCCATGTAATCCGTGCTTTGAATTTTCGTTATGTACTAATATAATTTATAAACATAGATATGGTGATAATTATTGTTATTAATATTAGTATTGAATATTTTAATAGAAAACGTGCTGTTTATACTCCTTACAGATCTATCCAGAAAAAATTCACATATTCAAAATTATATATGCCTATAAGTTAATAACCTTTGTTTTTCCTTTAAATGTTTATTATGATCAAAATTACAATAATCTTTTAACAATACAATTTTGTGTACGAAGTAAATTGGTTTGAGCAAACCAACATTATTAGTCTTACTGAATGTGCTAGATATGGATGGATTAATATTGATACGGATTGTCTTGAATGTGGATATTGTGGAGAGAGGTTATTGGTTAATACATCAGAAGATGTAGATATTGGTAATAATAAAAAATACATTAATATGAGCAAACAAGCAATATTAGGACTAACGTTGGTTAACTAGTGAGTGTTAACAACAATCACTAATGTAATTTGCTTTAGTGAGTAAGCAAATATTTGGACTAATGTTGGTTAACTAGTGGGTGTTAATGAAGTAGTATTATTGTAATCGTAAATGTAAGGCCATTGAACAAGCTATTTGTGTTGTTTTGCAAGCAAGTTTGCAATCGGCCAATAAATGTAATCAAGGGTAAATGACTGAAATAAATCGATTGCAAGTGAATAAAAGAACTTTATAACATTGCAAAAAGGCCACCTTTATTTATTTACAGTTATCTGGTACCATCAAGTACGTTCACAGATTCATCTGGATGAATGAAAGAGGGAACCAAAGTAAATTTGTAAGCTAATTTTAATTGATAAGCACCGGATTATTGCAATTAACTGACAAGAGTAGCCCAAAAGTTAAGCCATGATTGTTAATTAACCAGAATGATACCTTGAAATATCACTATTTAACAAGAATCAAAAAAACTGTAAAAAGTTTATTATTATAATTTAGCTTTAAGAAATAAAATAAAGATAAAATAAAAAGATAAATAATTATAATGAATAAATTTATAGTAGAGATTAAATTCATCAATTCTTCTTTTACTATTGTTACTAAAATTTAATTCATTAATTAATATTGTTAATAACAATTAATAGATAGTAATTTCCAATTGATTAATAATGAAAAATTTTATTCACCTTTTGTTAACATTCTAGAGAAAAGGGTTAAAACCAAGATCATTTAACAAACTATCATTACTTTTTAAGCTTTTAGATTTAGCAATCTCTTCATCTAATATTCTACTTGTATGATATGCATTTGGATGTGATTTGTGTGCTTGTTGCAAAGCACTACTACCACTACTAGTAGTATGATTACCATTATTATTTTTAATAATTTCTTCAAGTTTGTTTTCAGCAAAATCATAAAGCTCTCTACTAGTTGGTCTTTTTGATGGATCCACATCCCAACATCTCTGCATCATTTGCACATAATCATCAGGCATTTCAGATAATATTGGTGGTCGTAAACCTTCACATATATCAAAAATCAAACAATGATTGTGAGTTCTATTATCAAATGGTGGACAACCTGCAAATATTTCCCACATTAACATCCCAACACTATAGATATCTGATTCTTTGGTGTTCT